TACTGGCAACAGATGCTGGAAGCCGTCAATGTCATCCACAATGAAGGAATCATTCATAGTGATTTAAAACCCGCCAACTTTCTTTTTGTCGAGGGAAGATTAAAACTGATCGACTTTGGAATTGCCAACTCTATCCAGGTAAAGAATGGACATGAAAAAAGAAAAATAAAGCAACAACAAAACAAACAAACAATTCTTAAATAATTAAAAGGCATTCATAACTTTAAAGGAATGCCAAAAAAAACTTTCCAATGTTTTGGTCAAGTTTTGTATTAAACAACATTTAGTTTCAGGGGAAAACTGCTAGCGCTCGTTAGGAACAATGTCTTTTTTACCTGAACGCTCTCTTTGTCAATAGGCTGACCAAACAAGTATACAGCGAGATACTCAGGTCGGAACACTAAACTTCATGTCACCAGAAGCCTTCCAGGATATTTCTGGTTCAATGAACCCCAACACTGGACGATCACGACCATGTACAAAGGTAAACTATAATATCAGGCATTCCAGAACATTTGAAACATGACAAAAACTGTTAGCGAAGTAACTAGAAAAGGAGACTGGAAGTGTTTGAAAGTCGGTGAACGGAGAGAAAAGCGTTGAAATTAATAGCTAATTTTCAAAAAGAAAAAAAGAAATGTAAACCTTCCTTTCTCTTTCTTTGCCGCGCCCATTTCAATTAAATGCACCCAAGAGCCTTAGCGCGATTTTCTCACATACGAAAATTCTCCATCTTTGATTTTGAACCAATCAGAAAGCAAGATATCATTCACGGGAAACTCTAAAAGGCTCTCGAGTGTACGTGGGACTTATAAGTACATTTGATTACCGTACCCCCACKAGTCCATTCAATCTCAATTTCTTTGTTCTATTGTTCTAAAACAAATAACGATGCATGCTTGAGATGGGGTACGTTCTTTCCATATATAGATCGGTCGTCCCAGTGACGTATGGTCGTTAGGGTGCATACTATACGCRATGGTATACGGTCGAACACCTTTCCAACACATCACCAACCAAGCCATGAAATTACAGTGTATCATCGACGAGAACTATGCAATTGAGTTTCCTCCAATCGGCAATTCCAAGCTCCTTGACGTATTAAAGGTATTAGTGATAATAATACAATAATAATATTATTAATCATCATCATCATAATGACAGTAACCAACTGTCTTCTTTCTTCTTTGCTATTTTCGTTTTACTTTTTGTTATAAATGAATTCTGCAAATGGCTGTAGAGTCCATGTGTGGTACATTTTGTTGTCTTCTCGTGTGGCGAGCTGCAAGCGATCCTGCACGTATATTTCATAATGAACTATGAAAGCGTCGAGGATATATATACAACGTTGAGCGCGCATATTTTATGTGTTCTTGTTTAGCTAAGATATCAGCGTTTGATGTTACCAACGTACGAATAACTTCAAATAGTTCATCTCATTATGGCTTCTATCATTGTATTTAAGGGTTCTTTGATTAGAAATCCTCGCGAACGTTATACAATCCCACATCTAYTACAGCAYCCATTTCTGTCTTCAGGAAAAGGTATTTTAATACATATATGTTTTTCGCTTCTTTGGACTTCTCCGTTTAATGACCGACCATTCGTTTTTACAGCCGCTGARCCAAATGAAGAACAACTTTTCAACGTCCTTCTAGAGTTAGCGCAGGCTCATGTTAATTCACCTCGTTCCATTCGAGTTGCAAGCAAGGTATGTTATAAATTCCGGAGTAATGGTTCCTCTGGGGATGCTCAAACGACCCGAGTCTTCGCACTTTGTATGGTTGCACTCGGCTGTTTTATCCTCGGAAACCCAGGTGCTTTTTTGGTACATTCTCAAAAGCCTCTGAGTTTCCCAGGATGCCACATTCTAAGATAACGACTAGAAAAAAAACCATCATGCATTTGCGCATTGACGGAATCACAGGCAAAGTATGAAAGATTTTTTATGGTCGTTGATCAATCAAACACTGTTCTATGTGACTTTGAGGGATTTTAGACCTTAAGTATCTCTAACTTAACTAAAATAATTCTCGTTTTCAGAGTATTTGCGAGCAACTACGGTCAGGTAATAAAATCGATGTGTCCTCAATTTTGGTGAAAAAGCAGCACCAGTCCCAGCATGCACCACCCTCAGGACGTCAACCACTCGGTGGTCTGAGCATGGGGTCCCTGCAGATGCCTCACAGTGCACTCAAGTCATCAGCACCATATATGGGCAATGATAGATCTTACTTCGATAAGGTGGGTACTGTTTCAATGATCAACCATCTTAGAGTAATGGAAATAATTTACTTAAGCACCACATAAACGAAATAGTAAGAATGCAAACAAGAAAGAAGTTGGGCTGCCTTTGATACAGCTTAGGCAGTCGATCTCTTTCTCTATGACGTCATAGTAAACTAAAAAACATTATATGCGTCAGACAATCATTGACAAATACTTAAAAAAAAAACTAGAAAATCTGAACTTAAAGTTTGTTGGAGAAAGAAAGGATGCATTCCTTTTAAAATTACTGTGATCGATTCTGAACACCATGTAATATGCTGTGATGTCATAATGAAATAGGGTAGTTATATTATGGAACATCACTCGTTTTTGTTATTAATCGTCATATTTGCATTTTTTTAAAGGAAAATGCTGACTTGCCATTCACATGATGATGTCTGCTTCCGAGAATAGAGAACAATATAAATGAAATGATGTATCTGAATCACTGCTATAAATCACAAGTAGGAAGTTGTGTTTTCGTGGTATTATTCCTATCGATGTGCATTTAAAAGAACTTAGAACATTTAGAACTATGTAATCAGATTTGTTCGAAGACAATCTAGATAATAAATTTAATATTGATAAGGTAAAAAATGTGTCTTCGTACGAATTAATATATGATACCGTCACGATGATAAATTTGTTCCTGGATTTCCCCTATTTCATTTGACCAATCGAAACTTCATCACGTCATACTCACAAGTGTATAAAAGCCCTTCATTATTACTACTACGATAGCTAATGCAAAAAGAATGGCTTACTCAATACAAAGGGTTATCAAACTCCTATTACTTTCCTTGATGGTGAATTTAACGGGAAGCGAAAAGTCCAGCTTTGGACTTTACTTTGACATCTTTCAACTGATTGGGAATCCAAGTACCCAAAATTTCAAAAAAGGATTTTACGAACTAATTCAATCGAAAGAAGACATGTTTAGATGTGATTTGAATTGTTTAAAAGACTTTACAGATGGTATTGACCGTCCTGATCTATCTTCTAAGATCACAAAGTACGAGTGCGAACTTCAAATCATTATGATTCTCTCACAATATGTTGACCTCCGAGACGGCAGTTTGCCCTCTCCGTCGATGGCGTCCGATAATCAAAGAGCTGTTTCAAAATATCTGTCCGAGCTGAAATTTTCAGATCGTTTAGAAAAGGCATTAACCGATCAAGCAACACAAGGAAATACTTCAAGTATTAGAAGAGACGTAGAAATGTATTGTGAAGAAATATGCAAAGGACAGCTGTCATGGAATGTAATTCTGTCGATATTGTTGTTCACTTGTGAATTGGCGTATAGACGTATGTGTTTATGTCCCGGACCCTCCAAGTTTCAGCGATGGCTGTCAGACATCGATGAGATAACGATTGTTTTGGGGAAGACGATTGTACACTGGCTAGCGCAGAACGGAGGCGTCGTAAGTAAACTTGTCAGATAATAAGTTTATGAGAGTTCCGCGAAAAGTTTGGTAAGGCAATCTGAAAGTGAAAGTCAATAGTGTTTATTGCGCAAGGTTATGTGGTAAATTCTTGTGAAGTATACTTCAAATATATTTGTGTAGTTTTCCAGGCCTGTAAAGCCATGGATCTTTGTCGAGAGTAATGGAAATATCAAAGGATTTTAAGACATCAACGAAGGCTGCAACAGCAAGCGCTATTATTTATGAAGAGGGCTTTCTATATTGCAGTTTGTATTGAAATATTGTTGTTGTTTTTTTCAGGGAAAATTGGCATTATTTATTGATAAGCAAGATCCTGTAAGAGCCCAAAGAATTAAGATCATAAACGAACAGTTCCAACAAATGGTTCTGATCTTCTAAAAAAATACTGTATTAATTGGACTTGTCACATTGAATTTGAAATAATAAATATGGACTTGACGTATGTAGGTTGTCAATTTTGTACATTGAGCTATACTACAAGGGCCACAACATATCAATGTCATTAAAGACTTAGGTCCACAAGAAGGGGTTATCTAGAATTGCAGCATTATAAACTGTTGCAAAAATTTGAGAAAAGAACGCTTTCTCTTTTGGCGGCTAATACTCAGTTTTTCCCCTCGTTATGATACATATATAATTAACAGGCCATATTATAATTATCACACGAGAGCTCAACCGCAAACCCAGGTTAACATTGCCGATATTTCGTGATAACAGCGTGTTGATATTTTGGTTCAGGGATTATGCACAAAATAAGAGGTCTTTTTTTACTCAAACGGTCTTATTAAAGTTTCAGTATAGAGATGGTCTGTGAAATTTTTCTGCATTTATAAGTTTGACATTCAGTAGTCATAACAGTGAAATATGCTAATGGCTGTCCATGAAAAATACTTCGCTGTCGTGTTTGAAATTCCGTTTGGTCACAAACCACTGACAAACTATACACCTTAACAGACGTTTAGGTAAAACTAAAAACGAAGTTTCATGAAATAGATAATTAAAAATGCAGTATTGTGTTCTTATTCGATGTTGATTTTCTTGTGACGTTCAGTAATTAGTGGAAAACAAACCAATCAGAACTTTAAGTAAACAACACGTGACTTTGAACTCGCTATAAAACATGTAAAACATCCCTCACCCTCTTTGTTTTTCGAATTTTTTTTATGCCATAGCAGCCTGATTATATTTGGTACTCGAACTTTCTTTTGCGTATTTTGATGCCGAAAGCTGGTTCTTCTGAGAAAGTGGTTCTTCTGAGATTCTTGGACGAATTAACATCGGGAGAGAGGTTGCGATTCTATTTTTACTGCACTGAAGAAGATATGCTCAAACCACTAAGGGCACCGAATGAAGAAGAAATGCTGCAGTTATTTTGCGAGCTACAAAATAGAAATGTGACGACATATCTTTCTTAATAAAATTTCGTGAATCACAAGTAGTTTCCACTATCCTGATCGAAAAGTGTATCCGAGACGAAAAAGTAGAAGAAGAAGAAGAAGTAGAAAACGGAGACATCGTTTGCCACGAAGAAACAGCAGCACAGAAAGTATCCAAACATTTGTCCCGAACGGTTGGAAACAATCCAAAGCTCGCGAAAAACTTTGCCAGTCTTTCATTACTTTCGAAAAACACAAGCGCTCAAGACGTGTTGAGGACATATCTCAATAACTTTTCCCGTGAAGAGTTGTGTTGGCGATCCATTCTTCAGATTCTGGTATTCAGCAAAATGTGGTGTTCATATTACGATATCGAAGGCACTATGCTAGTATTGAGGGAGAAAATTATACCGTGGATCGTGGAAAATGATGGCGTTGTAAGTAGAATTGTTCATAATATGCCTTCACAATTAAACCATAGTTTTCTTTTAACATGCACAAACGGACCAAAATCGATTCTGGTATACCGTTTTTCATCAAATATTGTATCATTCGCCTCCTTCCCCTAGGGCTCAAACGTAACGCCGTTTTGAAATTGGATCACGAAAACTTGAGTGCATTTAATACAATATTTTCTTGGGAATTTTCGCGGGGGAATTTTGTCGCTTGTGATATAACTGTTGATCATTAATATTCATGCAGACTAGTTAGATTTGAGGCTTTCGTCATGCAGATTTCCCTATAGTTTCTATGTTGTTTTGTTTGCAAAACACTCAGTTTGCTGAAGAAGGCCAAAGTGCCAAAACGTCCTCAATGAAATAGATACATCAAAGCTACAAAGTTGTTTTTTGTCTTACTTCATTATAAAATTGCCTAATTACATTTTATATATACAGCACAAATTTCATCCTCACTTTTCTCAAATCTGAATAAGTAAATTTAATTTAATTTTCAATTTTTTTTATTAGGCTGGATGTGCCAAATTCATTGCAAATCAAGATCCAAAAGAAATTGCGAGACAAGAACAAAAAATAAGAGTCTTGATCGCTGAAATCTTTCAACAATTAAAAACGTATTATCAACTTTAATAACCTACTCTGCAAACTCCGTATAGTTTGATCGGATGTGACGCATTAGGTCCCTCTCACCAGTCTCCGATGGATTGCCACCTTAACGCGGTGGAGCTGTTTGTGTGTCCCTATGACCCTGAGAGCTTAGTCAGCTGGAGTCTTGAACTCCTGGTAGGGCTTCCCATGCTGAAAAGGTCAAAGGGTAGGGTCCAGACGAAGAGCAATCCTATGTATGAGTTACAACAAGTTGTCAAGAGGAAGAAAAAACGTTTAAAGTTCCAAAAGATACAAATGTCAACACATTAAGTTCTGGAAAGAATTAAAAGCGAAAAACATTTATGAAACAAACACAAATCAAAGTTCAAGTACCAAAAAAAGAGAAAAAGTTCAAGAACAACATCTGTCATCAAGTTACACATTAAGTAAATGTTATGTTAAGTTGAGTTAAATCGTAGTTTTTTACCATAGCGGAAAGAACAGATTCAGGTAAATGCTTGTGAAAGACAGGAGAACAAAAGAAACTTACAACATTATTTACACAACATGAGATTTTCAAGTTCGAAATCAAAGAAAGAAACATTTCAAAGAATATGAAAGTTTAATTTCCAAAAAAAATTCCGGGGATATGTCATCGTGTATGTGGAAAACTATCAAAAGAGTTTTTAATACTGGCTCTCTATCAACTCTCTGGGTCTACTAGGTTTTGACGACCGCCATATAAAGTAGACATATACCGACCTTCTTAGAGGTCATGATGTCATGATATTCTAAATATGCTTAAGTGCATTTTCTTTGCTTGCGAAAAATAAAGTGCGTGATACTTCGGTTTCAAGTCAAAAAGTTGTCATTAAAAATAAGCATTTTTATCTAATTGCACCATATCGGCATTGGTGTCAAGTTGGAAACGCGGTTTCGTAGAATCTTATCGAAAAAAAAGTAGATTCTCTATATTTTCCGATGTATATTTTTTTGCGATTGTAGAATTTGAGATTAAGGGGGTTACCCTTTAGTTGCCGTAACAAGACGACCAATCAAAGTTTATCAAATAAAACACGTGACCATTCTCATGATATAAAATCCGCTTCAACACCATGTTTTTCGTACTTGGACTTGCGTTTGTTTCTTGTTTCTTGCCCGTAATTTCCATCCTTACGGTTTTTGTATCTGGTTCCATGCAGAAAGCTTGCCGACGGTTTGAAAAGGTTCTTCTTAGAATCTTGAACGAATTTACTTCGGAAGAGAGGTCGGAATTCTTTTTTTATTGCAAAAAAAGTTTTCCCATATCTTCTGAAGACGAAAAGAAACAAATGTTGGCATTATTTCGCGATTTACAAGAAAATCATATAATTTCACCCAGCAACGTGTCCTTCATGAAGGAATTTACTGACACAATTTACCGATTGGATCTGACAAATATTCTAATGGAGTATGAATCAGAAGTTGAAGTTGCAATGATCCTCGAAGAGTATGCTGATATCCGAGACGGAAATCCAAATCTCGATCGTCAAGAATTGTCCGCAACACAGGCCATATCCAAAGATTTGTCCCGAAATTTTAGAGATGGTCAACTGCTGACAGACATGGCAAAACTCACAAGAAGTAGAAGCATCGAAGAAGCTGTGAACATGCACACAAACAGGATCTTGGTCCAGGGAGAGATGTGTTGGCCATCCGTTCTTGAGATTCTGGGATTCAGCTCTGAATTAGCGTACAGACGAATGTGTTTTCATCCCGGACCGTCAAAGTTTCATCGATGGCTGTCTGACATCGACGCTATTTTTCCGGTATTGCGGGAGACGATAGTACCTTGGATGGCTCAGAATGGAGGCGCTGTAAGTACTACAAGTGCAATCATTATAAATTTGGAAGGGTTTTTGTGATAGGTACCTGCAAATAGTAGAAATGTTTATTTGAAACGCTCCCACGGCTGCAGTCAAGCGTTGGCAACCTTTCCTCGAATAAAAATCTGAATAGAACCATACTTCCTTTGTAGTGATTGCTACGAACTAGAATTTTCAAAAATGTTAATTTTTTGCCCAATATATGAATAATTTATGAGCGTCATGAGCTAGACCCCTTGCAGATTTGGATGACAGTATAGTCAAAACAAGCTTATATATTAGCCTTACTATCTTTTTCAAAGGCTGGTTGTGCCAAATTTATTGGAAGGCAAGATCCAAAAAACTTAGCAAGGGATAAAGAAATAGAAGCCCTGATTACAGAGTTCACTCAACAGTACACCCATTAATCAGCTGACCACTGCCTGTTCAAGCCCCCTCTTACTCCCAAAAAAAGAAAGAAAAACATTAAAACACAAAAAAAGAGAAAAATATCACAAAACAAAACAAAAATGGAAAAAAACAAAACAAAATGATAAAAAAAGGAAAAGGAATCTACTATTGAAAATGATGAAAAGGAAAAGCTTAAAGAAGAATTGTGGATTGCTCTTACATGTAATATTGAAAAATCAGATTGTACAAGATACTGTATGAAAATTGGAGTTCAAGACAAAAGTTCAAGTACACAGCTCAACTATTGAAATTCGTGAAAACAAAGTCTACATATGCTGCTATTATTACTATTGAAAATTTACTGAGTATTTTATGGAAATCAAGAAAATGAGTCATGTTCAAAAACTTTAAATAATGAATCCAAGAAATCGTGCATGTACAAAACATTACATATAAAAACAGAATGAAGTTCAAAAAAGCAAACAGAAAAAAAGGTGAAGTGAGAATGAAAGAAACTCAAGCAATTTGAAAGTCCATTAAAAAAAAAAGAAAAGTTCAAGTAACAAATGAAAACTACAAGTTCCAAAAGATTAAAACAAAAGTTCAAAGTACCAAACTATAATGCAGAAAGCAAAAGTTCAAGTACAAAAACAAAGATATCAATCAAGTTCAAGTTCAACAAACGTCCAAGTACCAAAAAGATTATGAAAACAAAAGTCCAAGTTCCAAAGAAACAAACTTTCGAAAAGAAATTAAAACCTTTTCCAAAAGCAAAAAAAAAATCTAAAAAAATAATACATTAGAGGCAAGAGGGGAAAGTAATACTTTGTGTAAAATTGCAACAGTTAATAGAATAATCTGTTAATTGTTATAATTTAATTTCACTTATTCAAAATATTTTTTTGACACCATTAGAGTGAACAAACTAAATCTGTGAAATTGTGCTCACTGAATTGAATCATTACAGTAGGTGAATGGTCTGAACCCAYGTGTAAACGACTCATGGTACAAGAAGTCTTGAAAATGAGTAAAGGTTATCTATTTYGACATTGTGTGTGGAAGTCATCTTCGGAGTGAAGATAACTTCCACTGTCATGTAACGTTTCACAGTCTTTCCCGAGACTTCTTGCTCCAAGAAACTCATGACTGCCTATACATTAAATCATAACCATGGATCTCACTCGGCCATCACTATAAAAAATACACCGATCAATTTTAATGCAGAATTTCATGGATTAAGTATTTTCACTCTGAGCTTACAATTGTTTGTTTCTGTACTTCAGAAATTTTTAGATAATAATGATTTAATCAGTTAGATCAGCACAGCCAAAATACAGCCAAAATAAGTAGTGCTATAGCTTATATAATGTTCAGTGTTAATAAATATGCATGTCATAGAAATCATAAGAGGGGGGACATAAGGCATTTAATAGTACTTTCATTTTAAAATGTGGTATTAGAAATAATACCTCTGTGTGGACCGACTCAAAAAATAGCAGCCAAATTTAAATAATAATTGCTGAAAAGTGAATAGCTAATTCTCAACCAATGAAAAAGCTTTTGCATGGCTTACATACAGCCAAACCAAAAYAATTGTGTTGGGATTGCTTTATGGTAGCTATAAGAGTATCAATATTTTAACACTTCATAAATCTTATTACGGGATATGCTAATGAGGAGAGCGATTCTCACTTTAGCATTGATTGATTGTAACTTTGCTACAGTTAGGCATACCACATTGATGTCATACAGCTAGACTATTTTTTGAGTCAGTCTATGAATCCTGGATTTTACCACTGGCCAAGAAGAATTTTGACAAGATTGTTCCCTCCTAATGTTTTTGTGTCATTTTCATTGACTAAGACTTTAGTGTGATTTACCAAGGCTTTCACTTTATAATCTGTAGTAATAAATGTAATGATTGTACACTTTTCACATATTTTAATCCAATAAATACAAAAGACCACAAAGTGACTGGATGTTGTTTCAGATAGCAATCTTCAACTGGATATTCAACTACATGTAAATGACTGGTCAAAAATGTTTTTTTTTTTTAATTTGTGCATAACCTAAAAAACTTGCTGATTGTGGACTGAAAGATTATTTACAATTTACGGTAATTCCTGCAATTCCTAAAGTAATTCCTGTTGAGTTTTCTGCTCAATCTTAACATGTAGCTATAGACAACACAAGTGATAAATCTTTCACAAATATATTATTGATTCATAGAATTTATCCTTGCAAGCTCAGCTACAGTATAATCTCTTTGAAAAGGCATGTCCACCTCCCAAGATAGTACAGTGTTAAAAGGAGTAAGTAATGTCAGGAATTAACAAAAGCAGCTGTCTCCAAGGGAAGGCTTGTGTTTATTTGCATTTACTGACTTGTCCTTGCAATGCATTCTGGTCATAAGACCCWGCCCCCTCATGTTGCTTGACTGCTTTCTTTACTCCATCATACCATAGCTTCATAGAAGTGTTTGTCAAATAACTCTTTGAACATGTCCAAGTCTTCCAGACCACTAAGTACTCCATATACAGTCTACAAGGAACAAAAAATCATGATGAGAACAATTAACAATGAAGATGATGATAATATTGGTTACGTAATAACTTTTTTACTGACCAAGTCAGCAAGATTAGGAGAGGAGACTCCCATGAATTTTCTCTTGCCAACTGCTTTCATCCATTTTTCTCCTTGACTCCTGACATCATCCTTTAATCTAGTATATCTGATAGCTTTGATATTAATTCAGTTTTTCCTCGTTCAATATTATTAGCATTATTAGCATAGCCTACTGCGGCACGAATTATAGCTCAACGACATAACACACCTTCCAAAAACGGTGAACTTCTATACCTTATCACCATGGAAACAGGGCATGTTTTCGTGATAATAGCCGACTTTAGATATTTAGGTTCAGTGATTATGCACAAAATAATTGTAGACGGGGCTCTGGAGAAACAAAAGAATATGCGTTGTCAGAATTACGTAGCATAACGACCCTGGCTTTGCACATAACCAATCAGAATTACGTAAACAACACGCGATTTTTATTTTCTTGAGTTGTCCGCAGTGTCGTTTCTTTCTCCTATTTCTTCGATCTTACAATTTTCCATTATTTCCAGGCTGAAAACTTGCAATTATTCGTTCAAGGTTCTTCTGAAAATATTGGACGAATTAACTTGGGATAAGATAAGAATAGGCATTACGGGGTGGTACGAATTTGACTCATAACAATAAAATGTGCTTGTGTGCATTTTCTTGGTACATTAAAAAAATAATGTGATACTTCGCTATCGCGTTAAAAATCAGTTCAGACGCACACTATTTACACCTTAATAGACATAGAGATAAAACTACTAACGAAGTTCCATGAAAATTGCTCATAAAATGCAGTATTTTTAGTCTTAATATTACACGTTGGTTAGAATAGTTGATTGGGGTATTCCCCTGACTTTTAACAACCAATCAGAGCTTAATAAACAACACGTGACTGCAATCGCTATAAAAGTATCCCTCCCTCTTTTTTGCCTTCGGTACTCTTGAACTTTCTTTTCGCACAACACCACTATATTTGGTACTTGAACTTTTTTTTGTGTAACTTACATCTTACAAATGCTGAAAGCTGGTAGGCATTTCGAAAAGGTTCTTTTGAGAATCTTGGACGAATTAACTTCGATAGAGAGGTCGAAATTATGTTTTTACTGCCGAAAAGATTCGCCCAAACCACCGAATCAAGAAGAAATGCAGCAGTTATTTCGCGAGTTACAAGATAGAAATATGATTTCATCCAGCAACGTGTCCTTCCTGAAAGAATTTACGAACACCATTCTTCGATATGACCTGACAAATATTCTACTGGAGTATGAATCAGAAGTTGAAGTTGGCACTATCCTCAAAGAGTATGCCGTTTTCCGAGACGAAAACCCGAATTTCGACTGTCCAGAAATGTCCTCAACGCAGATCATTTCCAAACATTTGTCCCGAAAATTTACAAACTGTTCAGAGCCGCTAACAAAGATTGTCAGACTTTCGAAAGACACAAGCTTTCAAGACGATTTAAGACTATCAATCGATGAGATGACCCGGGAAGGGAACGAGTTGTGTTGGTCGTCCATCCTCCAGATTCTGGGATTCAGCTCGGAGTTGGCGTACAGACGAATGTGTTTATTTCCTGGACCGTCTAAGTTTCACCGATTGCTTTCAGACATTGACGACGTTCGCCTGGTATTACAAGAATTTAAGATTGCGTCGTGGATGGCGCGAAACGGAGGCGTTGTAAGTACTATTACTTAAAGTATTTTGCAAATATGTGACTGTATGTATAACGAGTTTCAATCTCATGGCGGAAAGATCGGCCTTTCGCGCGGAATTTTGATAGTAAAGCCCCGTCTACACGAGCAATTTTTATGTGGCAACTATATGTGGCAATTCTTATTTGTCCGTGTGGACAGGCAGCAAATAATTGTTGAAGATTCGCGCCAAGTGTGATTTTGCACAGCGGAGATGACAATAAACAAAGCAAAGTTGGTTGGTTTTAGCTCTTACAACAACAATAATACCATTCTCTCTGTCGATCCGGTCGTTCTGCTTACTATCGGCGTGGCCATCAAGGTGTGCAAAATGTTGAGACCAGGGATTTAGTGTAACGTCAAAATAATTGTCACATTTTATGTGACGCTCGTCCACACAGGCAATTTTCGATATGTGACAATTTTTAGTTTGTCACATAAAAACTAGCATGCCAGCTTTCCAGCAACTACAGTTGTCACATAAATATTGGTCAATTTTGCTCATCTACACGGGCAATTAAAAGTTGTCACATAATAATTGCCACATAAAAATTGCTCGTGTAGACGTGGCTTAATTAATTCCTACCGCGGTACTTCACTTCACCGGTTTCCCTGTGGTATATTTCGTTAAATTTATTCTATTTTTTGCAAATAAAGAAATCAAAGAAGGATGGGTTATCTATATGACTTGAACCTGGGACCATCTGGGCTTTTCAGGGTTTTTTTTAGCTAAACATGAATGCAAAATTTTAGAGAAAGACGAAGGATGATAATGATGAACAAGAGTGAGTAGTGTGTCGATATCAGTATTAATGCTCCGTTCTTTCGCGATATAAAATAGATCACTTTGTCATTAATAAATGCATAACTATTCCTTTCGAAGCGTTTTTACGTTTATTTGAAATTTTGAAACACTCATAAAGATAATTTGACGTTTGGGGTTTGCAGTATTAAAACGTGAATCTAAAAATTTTTTCTGATGAACGATAAAAATATATTGAAAGCTACTACCATAGAAAAAATCGAAATAATTATTATTCATTGTTTGAAATAAAGATTCTATGATTGTACTTATTATTTGATCGAAATTAAAGTTGATTTCCTTCACTCTCAACAACAAACGCACTTTAGTATAAACATATTATTGTTACTAATGGTCTAATTTGTGATAGACCACTTGCGGGAAAATCAAAATAAATAAATTATAAATTATTTTTAAAGTGCACATGACACCTTTTAGAAAAACGCTTTTATCCAAAAGTTTACACGCTGCCAAGTATTTCTGTGAAGAAAGAAATAGATTTTGAATTTTATTTTCTATTTTATTTGAAAATTGAAAATGCAAATGAAGTGACGTCAACTAAGGAATTGATCCAGACTTTTTACATTATTTGCACTATGCTGTTCTTGGTTGAATAGCTCAAGTCATCAATCATAGTAATAATTTAGAGCTGAAAATGCTTTTTCCAGTGTAACAAAAAGAATAACGTCCTCTTTCATGATTTTGTATATTAAATCATTCCTTAGTAGACGTCACTTCATTTGCATTTTCTAAGTTTCAATTGCCCATACAATTTAAAATCAATTTCTTTCTTCACAGAGTACTTTCAGCATTTTCTCTTTTGGATGAGAATGCATGAATTTCTAATGGTGTCATGTGCACTTTAAGGATATTTCAATTTGGCCAATTAGTATGTTTATACTAAAACAATTAGACCTCTCGGCCTCGTGGACTACRAGCTGATAGCCCATTTGGCCTCGCTGACTTGGCCTCATGCGCTATTAGCTCGTAGTCCACTCCACCTCGAGGTCTAATTGTTAAATAGATAAAAATCGATAAATTCCAGACACAAATCGATAAAAATCAAACTAACACTAAAAAATAATATCGATTTTTAACAATTTCAGATAGATCGATTGACTACTCCGGGAGTAGTAGTGCTGTACAGTTGGTTGTTCCGAATTTGTCAATCAATCATCAATCAATACAATCATTCTTCGAGTTATGTTGGCATTGGCGGCTTGATTGTTTCTTTTCCCTACGTATATCTATTTTTCCGTATAATTCCATGCTGAAAGCTTTTTTCCTTTAAGTGGTAAAATTATTTCTGGAATTTTGTGATGAAAGCACAAAACCCAAATGAGATTTATTTATTTTTCCTGTTTTTTTATTAGGCTGTATTTGCCAAATTCATTACAAATCAAGATCCAAAAGAAATTGCAAGACAAGAAGAAATTAAAGGGTTGGTTGCTCAGATTATCTGCTAGCATGATGAAAAAACAATTTGTTAAAGGTTGAAAATTAACAAATGAATATCTCTACCAGTCTCCGAATGGATTGCCACCTTATCGCGGTGGAGCTGTTTGTGTGTCCCTATGACCCTGAGAGCTAAGTCAGCTGGAGTCTTGAACTCCTGGTAGGGCTTCCCATGCTGAAAAGGTCAAGGGGTAGGGTCCAGACGAAGAGCAATCCTTTGGGTTGTAACAAATGAACTTGTCAAGAAAAAAAACTTTTCAGGTTCCAAAAGACACGAATTTCAGTACATTAAGTTCTGAAAACAATTACAAACAAAAAAACATTTATAAAAAAAAAAAACAAAAAAAAGAGAAAAAGTTATCAAAGTTCACAACTACCAAAAGAAACAAATAACTATTCATCAAGTTACATAAAAAAAAGTTTAAGTACCAAAAAAGAGAAAAAGCAAGCACGAAAAGAAACAAATTACTATTCATCAAGTTACACAAAAAAAGTTCAAGTACCAAAAGAGAGAAAAAGTTGTCCAAAGTTCGTAAGTACCAAAAGAAACAAATAACTATTCATCAAGTTACACAAAAAAAGTTCAAGTACCAAAAGAGAGAAAAAGTTGTCCAAAGTTCGTAAGTACCAAAAGAAACAAATAACTATTCATCAAGTTACACAAA